CCAACACAATTTGATAATTACAGGAAACTGGTCTTAATACCTTAATGATCGGCATCCATGCGTCAACGAATTTGTAACATTAATGTACTGAAAATTTTCGAAGATCTTATGTTTATAATCAATGGTACATGTACAATAAATATGTTTCTTATCCTGATTTTATCTATATTTGATATTTGCTGAATGCACTCCTGCATTTAAGAAATAACAGACTGTCTGTGGATTAAGGACAGATGATACAAACAATTTTTTTTCTTTGAAAAAGATTTAATATCATGTCACAAGTTTAGAAATGTGGATGGTTCTTGGAATTTTTTCTCCGAAGAACTGGGAAATGAAATAGACTTATAAAATATTAGTAATATTTCAATAAAAAACAAATATAGACAAATCACATTCAGTAAAGGTTTAAAGGTGAAAATAAATTTTTAAAATATGTTATCTTGGTGCTAAATGTGTAATATAAAACTTACAAAAATATACCAATCCAGGTGAATTTTAAGGGGAAAAATGACAAAAAATTAGCAATATCACACGCTGATTTTTACCATTTAGCTTTTTCATATTCCAGTTCTTAGGAGAAAAATATTCTAAGAACCATCCTCATTTCTAAACTTGTGACATGATATTAAATCTTTTTCAAAGAAAAAAATTGTTTGGATCATCTGTCCTTAAGAACAGCAACATGAGAAACTAAGCAGGGTCAAAGATGAGGTATTTACTAATCATATACTTCATAATTTCTAGTGACGTATCTCTCATAAATACATGTAGCTCCTAAAGAATATTAAATTTCAAATGTCTAAATTAAGTCTGTCATAATATGCCAAAACGTTGTGTAAAAGATCGCTTCAGAAAATGGGTATCAATTTCCAGAGGCATACAGACTTTATTTAGAAAGGCAAAAATCAATGAATGTGGAGGAGAGAGGCAAAGCAGCGAATAGCAGTAAAAATCAATTGCGTCAAACCTCCAAAATAAACTTTGAAAATGCTGGATAAACAGGAAACATTAGAAAAGAAAGCAGTGTATTTGTATAAACTAAAAAAAAATCCACAAAAGCATGTATTGATTGCAGGGTTTTCCTAGGGCCGTTTAACGCACCCCTGCTAATGTTATTGTGATTTAAATTCAAACCACGTGGTATAGGTTGACCAATTCAAAGACTACGGGGTAGAACCGCTTTTATCAATAAAATTGGCAGTAAACAGGAAATTGCCATAGTCGGTTTCTTTTGAAAACATGTCCTGTAAAAATGTGTTTCTAGGTCTTTCTGAAGGACTTTCATGTTACGGTAGATAAAGGGGGGGGGGGGGGCAAAACAATATACTTTATCTTCGCTTTTGTGATAATTCGTGGCAAAAATTGGAGCTGTCTAGAAACAAATCCCCCAAAATAGTCCGACACCATGGTAGAAAATAAATGTGTTTAAAATATTCACATGTACGCTGAAAAACCTTTGTATGCCTTATATGGCTATTGTTATCAATGCGCACGGCAGATCTTACCACGCACCACCTGACCAATCATTGAATAAATTGCAACGTTTACGCTAAGAATACATGATTTTATTTTACTTCTAACACGTGGTTCATGTCAATCTATGATCGATATAAAATAGGCCGAAAGAAATGTTCATATGAAAAATGCAAAGATTAGAAACTATGAAAGATGTCACCGGCGTTTTTAATTTGTTGTTAACTAGATGTATAATAAAATGTAGTTTGTGTCAAGTTCAGAACACCAGAGCTTGAAGGGTAGGGAAACCGAGCATTTAAACGGAAAATACCTGTGATCACACGTGTTTTTGGTCTGGGAATCCACCTGACAATTGTATTCACCGATAGTACAACAAAGGAATCAATGCAAACTCAAATCGCCTTGTAGTATGACTTAGAAAAAAACCTAGAATTTAACGTTTGTTCAATAAATGAATTCCATATCATTGTTAGCATGGAGATAAAAGGACAAAAAGAAACAACTGAAATTTCTTTACGAAATAGGTGGAACAGTGTTTTTGTACCTTTTCCATTGGCATTACATTTGTGTTTTTATTACAGGTGCAAAATTCCTGTTGTACCCTCGTAACCCATAATGCAATTTTCATTCATCTGATTTGTCAGTAAAAGTCATGTTTGTGCCTCATTGGCTTAACTGATGCCAAATAATATAGTCCTGGTTCCAAATACATGTATATTTGTCCAAAAAGAAACTTTAATACATGAAGTCAGAAAAATGATTCCATAGGGAATATATAAACTTATTAAAGTCGAATGAATTCAAATGAAATTGAATTTTTACATTTATTATAGAGTGGTAAAAATTAAAACACAACATAACTTTTCTGTTTACCATGTCTCCACGTGCTAGTCACTTCCTAGCCATATTTCCGTGAATCATTTACCCTATCTCGCTGTTGTCTCGCTTACTCTCGCCAGAGCTACTGTCAAAGCTACTTTGAACTCCTCGGGGTTTTATAATTTGCAGAACACCGAAAAATCAAAAGTTCTGAACACATTAGTAGGGGTGTTTAACTTGGCTACTTGGCTACAAGTTAAATTTTGTAGCACCACAGTTCCGCCAAAGTTAAAGTATTAAAGCCACAGCAAGATTTTTTGTCGTCAACACGATAAATTTATACATACATATAAAATTAATCAAATTATTGTACTGTTTTTCAGTTTGTATTGAAAACCTGTGAACATGGCCAATTTGCTCTAATTAGTACCCATTGTTTGGTTTGGAAAAAACAATTACCCCACCTCTGTTGATTTTTCCGTGAAATTCTGGCTTACGATTGGTTGAAGTCTGTCACGTGAAGGCGGTGTGACGTCATAATAGGCACAATATAAGCGTGATGAAGCATGTATCAGAGAAAAACAGAAAAAAACCTTAATAAACCACAGATAATACGTAAATTTTTCATCGGTGGGGTAAATTCGTTACAGAGTCAATTAAGGAACAAGGTATAACTCCGCCTCGCCAGGTATGAAATTTACTAACCAGGTATCATCCCTTACCAAGTCACTAAAAGACTATGTAACTAATATTATCTTCTCTAGACCTCACTAGACACATGAGACAAGCCATTTTTTTCCACACTATCATGATTGTGAAATTCTAAATGTGAATTAAGATTAAAATGCGTTGATCTATTTATACAGTAGTTCTAAAAACGCTTTAGATAACTGCGTCTCTAAAATTGCATTGACACTGCGGGTCAAAATACTGCACGTGTATTGTATGTATAATTTTGTAATGTTGAAAAATGAGTGATGTATCCACGAAAATATTTCTTCAAACTGCATGTAATAAAGTCTTTTAAAAATACAAAATTAAAGATTTTTTGCTCTTCAGACAATTAATTGCAAATGTAGAGATCTGAATTTTAGAGTGTTTGTTTGAACAATTACACAGAAGAATTAAATGCTTAAAACGTGATACTACTGGCACTGTTAATTTTATATGCTATAAGCAGATATTTGTTTCATCATAAGTACCTATGTGTTTGGGAGGTGTGTGTCTTTTTTAACAGTAAACATATGTAAATGTATTTTGGAAGCATACAAATTTTTGTTTTGCAGTTTTGTTTAATCTATATCAATTTATTTATTATTCAGTTATTATTGAAATGAATATTTGCCTTATACATGTATTGAATTTCATTTTTGTTTAAAACTACTGAATATCAGGGTCTATGTTTTAACTTATTTTGTGGCTCCTTTGCGATTTCAGTCGCAAAATGACCGTGAAAATTAGCTCTTAGAGCAAACACGGACCTCCAAGGCATCAGGGGTGGGATCAGGTACCATGGAGAAGTAAGTATCCCCTGCTGACCTATTACACCCACTGTGTGCTACTTTTCATGATCGGAAAATAACGGAAAAAATCCGTTGTCAGTTCAGTGTACGAATAATGGACTAACAATAAGTAGGAAAAACGTCTGTCAGCATTTGACTCAATGAAAAATTGTCTTTTCTGACAAGGTCATTGTATTGACTATAGAACTTACAAAATGATGACTTTTAACGAAATCGCTATTTTTGTTCCCTCAACTTGTTTGTCAATAAAGAGCCTCGTTTTAGAAACATGCTCTTGTTTTAGTATCGAACCAACTGAGACACATAAACTCCGTTAGCAGGTGATGAGGGTATTTTCCTGCATAAGTAAGGGAATTCGAAATTGACGATAGAAAAGTTAAAGTCATCACGTTTATCGTAGAGCTTGGTTGTTAGATTACCATTTACTTCTTATTTAATCAAATTATCCAAATATGAAACAAATGTATCAGAATGTGCGGTATCTTTTATTTCAGGCTCACAAAGATATATCGAACGGACATAAAAAGGGAAATTACAATTTTAATTGACAATACTTTGTCGATATATATAAATGTTGAGTTGAGGGCAATAGTGTTTTCTTCTTTTCAAGCATAAGATTTTGCACATATTCTGCTTCATTTGAATATAAAAATAAGTCTGCTACTAATGGGGCACTATTGGTATCCATGAAAATTCCAAAAGATTGTTGGAAGGCCTGGTTTCGAAAAACAATAAGACACTGTCAACCAGAAACTCAAGCATCTTTGTGATGTCGACTTAAGAGAACTTGTGTGTACAATCAAAAGGTTTCGACAAAATAATTTTGCAAACGACCAATGAAAAGGTAAATTTACAGTTCCATTTTTATTGAAAAAGCAGCTGTCAATGATATCAAAAAGACTCTAATTAATCTAATAAATGATTTACACCCCCACTTTAATATTCCTGATGTTTCTCTTTCACTACTGGTAATATTCTGAGCTAATGATAAGTAAAGAAAGAAGCTTGGTTGTACTTGAAGCCGCTATGTAACTTTTTTTTTGTACATGAAGGATTCTTATATAGTATATATAATATATTAGTTATTGCTGTTTTCATTTAATTAATGTTAGATAACCTATGAAGCAATCTCATTTTCTTTTAAAAGAGTGTACATTTTCGATTCTCAGTGCAACAGCATCAATTTGGAGATTCTATTATCCTCTTCCAAGTTTCGTAGATCGACTGTGTCTCATTGCAATTTGGTTTTGAAAACCCAAACCCTGGCCAGTTAATTTCTTCCTTTTTTATAAACTTTGGAGCTTTTCCAAATGGACGTTCTGTTGTAAATACTTTTTTGTCACCCGCCTGAAAGTTTTCAAGCCTGTAATCAATCGTTATTGGGAATACTTGAATTTCTTGCAAGATGCTGTTGATGCTGCTTTGAAAAAATGTGACGTCTGGGTTTGCAACCAAAGTGTTAGAAATGTCCTCTTTGATATTCTTCAGTGTTTCAATTCTCCTTTTGATTTCATTTTCTGTTTTCTCAACTGATTCTATGGCCAATTTTTCCTCATTTCGTAGAATCTGTAGCGTATTCTCTTCTATCATCGTAACCTGCTCTATTATTGATTTTTTGTGGTCTTCTATTTGTTTTCGAACTTCGTCGGTTCTTTTTGATATTTCTGATTTTTTGATGTTCTCATCAGATAACAATTCTCTATATCGCGGCATAAGCTCCCCTTCTATGTACTCCTTTTTGTTTTCAAGTTCGCATCTTATTTCATTGTATACAGTTGCTAGTTCTTCCATTTTATGTCCATTATGGGACTCTATGTGGCATTTAGTGCAGATAGGCTCTTTGCAAAGAGAGCAATACAACTCCAATTTCTTTACTGTGTGCCTTCTACAGAATAGTAAACACAGTGCCCCCTCCATATTTTTGTTAACGTGTGTAATTTCGTGATTTTTTGTTATTTTTCTGGACTCGTGATCTATTTTGCACTCCTTACAAAGATGACCAGGACATGTTTTGCATATATATTGTGAGGGATTTTTCTCACAGTTCTCACATTTAACGATGGCTTTAGCATGTTGAGATGAATATCTTCTTGCTGCCATTTTCTAGCTCCTATACAAACAATAGAATATACAGTATTAGAAATGATTCCTATGATTCTTTTAAACAATCTATATCTTCCGACAGCGTTTTTAGGTATTAAAGTGAAATAAAATTTATATTTATTCTCTGATAAAAATATCAACGTTTTATTTTCTATATATAGAAGATTATATTAACTTTTCTAAATGAAATGATGTACTATAATAGGTTTTTGTTTTCATGATGCTAGTCCACGATTTTTTGTCAATCCCTCGGAATGCATGTAAGCGTAAAAAATAAAATATAAGGCTTACATATCCGGGAAATTATTTTATGTAGAGATGAAACTAAAATAGAACATGTACTTCTCGATAGTATTATTTAGAGAATATTCTAAATTAATACCTGATATTTGATTGTATTCAAATTCAATGTTTTAAGTAGCGAAAACATGGTACAGTCCAAATCAACTTACGGAATTTAATTCAACAGTTGCATGAGGAAGGGAATAACTTGGTGAACTATAAAATCCAACATGTCATGACCTTCAATTTCAAAAGGGAGGACGAATACGTCCACATTTCCTTATGAAGATTTAAGAGATCGAGATAAATCTAGCATTATAAAAAAATCAGACTTTGTAAAAACATATATTGATTCAAATGAGCAATGAGTGTCGCGGTGTAAATAGTATACTGTTCCAACTTAGTTTATACCGTAAAAGTAGGTAGCTATTCAGAAGTTCGTTCCTTATAATTTAATTTTCATTCATTTGGTGTAATTAAAACAATTAGTATCCTTAAAAGTGCCTTCAATTTCTACAGAATTTGAATGTAAGGTCAGGCGGATTGATACGTTTTGACACATGTCATTGTGAATTAGGCAACCCATTTTATACGATCTAAAGTAAATTTTATTCCAATGAAATACAACATTACAACCAGAATAAAAGTATTATTACATAAAGTTGAATTTTTGATGTTGATCTTCACACGTCTTTCGCTGCAGTAATTCTTTTTTTCTTATGTAATATGCTCTCGACTTAAAATTGTTTTTAAATTGTCAAATTGTAAAGAAAAAAAATCATCCCAGGAATGTCTTGTTTTATTTTGTACTAACATTCACACAACATACATCCGATAACCTTAGGCTTACCTGTTCACAACACGTTACCTTTCTGTTGCAGAACAACTCAGTAACAACAAAACGAAAGTTAATAAAGAGAAAATTTGGTTTCACAAGTTAAATTAGACGCTAAAAAAATTAAACGCATTTAATTCGATGTGATTGGAGTTTTTAGATATACTATGGAAAAGATTTAAAAGATACTTACTTTATTGTCCTTCCTTTGATTTACAAATTTAAATTGACCTATTTACTACTAAAACGGATTTAAAACAATTTAAAATTAATAAAATCGTCCTAAGGACATACCTTTTCTTTTGCTTTTCTATCGTGCAATAATTTAAAAAACATCTAACAAATATGTTTAATCGACTTCCAAATATCATAATAACCTGCCATTAAATTTGTTTTATTTATCACCATATTTTACTTTGATCAATATTCCGATGGTATTATGTATTACTATCGAAGGGGTTTAAAGGCTTTTGCAGTACGAAGAAAAAGTTTATGTGAATAGATGCATCAAAAGATTTATATCGATTTTATGCTTGAAGCACTCGTAGACGTTTGTAATAGGCTAGACAAACAATAAAATTGAAAAGGGTTCTGTGTACAAGCAAACGAGAAATAAAGACGGATATTGACATTGGTTTATTAACATTATACTTCTTCGTGAAAAAAAGTAGATGTTTGGTGCATCTAAAACTAGTAATACTTGACAAAATTAAACATCGCAATCAAGAATGTTTTTAACTACCATTTTTTCATATTTGACGAAGGACAGAAATATTATTTGTATTTGAGGAAAATTAAAGATATTCAAGGTATTAATAAGATATTAGAAAGATGTTAAACATACCATACAAAAACGCATTTGAACAATATATATATATATATATATATATATATATATATATATATATATATATATATATATATATATATATATATATATATATATATATAATATATATATAAAATTATAAACATTGATGTTTTCTCCTTTTTAATGATTGTGAGGCTAAAATTAAGTAACAAAAAGAAAAAGGCAAACTAGAGCGATTTTATGTCACAAAATTTCCGGGAGACGGGGGGATGTATCATTGCTTTCTCTACAGAAAAAAAAACTTACAAATTGAAGAACAGCTGACTTTAAATAAGGTTGCTGAATCCAACATCAAATTACCTCGAAATAGCCTGCTTGGATTTGATTTGATAATAATTAGACTTAAATGATTCTACTAGGTCTCGAATAAGTTCGGAGATGGGATTTGATCTATAAGTGATAGCGGGGTATATCAAGAAGGAAAAAAATGACGTGGAAATACTAATTTTTTGGATGGATTCGATTCTTTGGCTTTTTTTTTGTCAAAAACCCATAATATTGTTGCAAAAGAATTGTGTCTATTTGGCTCTTACTTGTATCTCAGATGTTTAGCTCCCAATCTATCGGAATCTTCTTCCAGATTCCCCCCCCCCCCCCGATTTTATGTCCTTTATAGCTTTCTGTACGATATTAATATATACTGGTTTCTTACACAGTAAACAGTTGAGCTTGTAGCTTTCTTTTTGTGTAAACACCCAGGGAAAAAATCCGTCTATTCTAATATCTCGTGAAATTTTGTGCTTTTTCTCATTTCATACTCTGCGGCAAGTCCTGCAGAGGTGCATTATACATGTCAATCCACAGAAAATTCCCAGGAATTTTATTACAGTCTCTACACTCGATCTAATGTTGAGCAGATCGAAAAGATAGTTCCATTGTTATAATTACATTAAATTTATGCCTTTAAAAGTCTTAATTAAAACCTCTGTAAGATTTCATATAATATATAAGACTGTTTTATTATAAAGAAATTTTAGAACCCAATTTTCTATTGTTTAAAACCGTTCACGGTAGCTCAGTCGATTGAGCGCTCGCTCCGTGATCGGGAGGTCGTGAGTTCGTATCTCGGCCGCGACTGACCCAGTCGATAAAATGGGTAGCAACTGTTCTTTCGCCATGCGCTCGGCACTTTGAAGTGAAAGTTGCGGGTCTTTCGGATAAGACCTTAAAAACCGAGGCCCCTAGTTAGCGACAGGCATTGGCACGATAAAGATCCCTCACTGCTCTATGGCCCTGAGTTCCGAGTAAAGGTCAAAACTTGAAGCCCTTCACCGGCATACGGTGACGTCTCCATATGAGTGAAAAATTCTCGAGAGGGGCGTTAAACAATATACAATCAACTCACTCTGTTGTTTAAAACAACAAAAGCATACCCAAGTATATTTTACTAAAGTTAAGAATATGTTTCTTTACAATCATAATTTATATTTTTATACTATCATTACAGACACAATATTTTAGAAGCGAAATGAAAGAAATTCCATTAAATAATTTCAGGAGTTTGTAACAGTGTCTCAAAATATCTAAACATAATACCATTGAACTTTAGACAGGGCTTTCTATTCTCACGAATGTACTCTTATAAGAGTCAATTGAGTCAGATTTAAATGTCTGAACTTGAAATTGAAATTTATATAGAGGCATGGGGCCGATATCAAACAAATAAAGCGAGTTTTAAAATCATTTATGATTTTAAATACAATAATCATATAATGTGTGATTGACTGATTTCATGTAGTTTTACCTCTCATTTGAGAATTTTTCACCCATATAGAGATGTCACCATATACCGGTAAGGGGCTTCAGATTTTGACCATTACTCGTCACTCAGAGCCATTAATTGAGCAGAGATAGTTCTTTATCGTGCATACGCCTGCCGTGACCCGGGACCTCGGTTTTTAAGATTTCATCCGACGGATCCATAGTCAATGTAGTATATAAAATTAAAAGTTATTCATTATGTCAAAAAAGCAAGTCGACAAAGTTTTTGTGTTTTCCCCATGCGGTTTTTTTCTGTAACTCAACTTTGATTGAAAAAAAAAAATCAATATTTTTCTTTTAGATGTAAAACTTTAAAAAAGTATTGTGAACAGATAGAAAACCATACAAGCACAATAACGATGTGAGATAAGCGTTAAAATCAGAATGGACTATAGGTATCCTCCTGTTGTATCTATCCATGTGTCCGTCTGTTTTTCTGTTTAATTTTAATTTTCTATCGTCATCTTCTCTTATTTATGAATCAATATGCCATTTACTTTTGCTAATAGAAGTTTGTTTCTCAGCTCATTCGATTCAAAACACATGCTCCACGTAATAAAAATTTCTAAAAACAATTTCTAAAAACAAAATAATATATTGAAAAGCAAGTTAATGAACGGTCTAGACGAACTCCAAAAACAGCGTGATCTCCAAAAAAGAAGTCTTTGGCTCCGTCTTGCATTGCGGCAAAATGGCGTCCGATGTAAACAAACGATGAATTGTCGTTCACTTTCTCCACAAATACGACCGAAAAATGGCTGTATTTGGTAAACTGTGACTGGATTTTAATTTTTGTTGAATAAATAATTGCACTTATTAAATTATTTAGTGGTTATTGACTTATTTATCGCTCCCGTATTCTTGCAAAATAGTGATTTGGGATATACGACATTGGATTCAATAAAGTCGGTAAGAATAATTTCTTAACTTAATTTATTGTCCCCTTGATTTAGATTTTATGCCATTCCTACTATAGAGATGCTTAAATTTTTCTTCCAAGACACTTAGGTCGTAATTATTTTATTTAAAAAAAAACGCACAATTTTCGCGGCGGAGCAGAGATACTAACAGGTTCGTTTTGAGAAGACTTTTTAGCGTGATTTCAAAAGAATATTTTTTTTTAAAGTTCTTAAACTGTTAGATTATAATTCTACAAATATTTTCAGGATAATATCTGTTCATATGTAATAACAAGTAGGTTAATAGCGATGGTGATAACTTACGCTCTCAATTCAGATGTAATACAAG